ACTCCATGGACCAGAACCAGGACTAAACTCAGAGCCAAGACCAAAGCCCGGACCAAGACCAAGACCAGAGCCAAGACCAGAGCCACCAAGCCAGACCAAGACCAAGAGACCAAGAGACCAGAGCCAAGACCAGACCAGCCAAGACCAGAGCCAAGACCAGAGCCAAGACCAGAGCCAAGACCAAGACCAAGACCAGAGCCAAGACCAGAGCCAAGACCAAGACCAAGGACCAGAGCCAAGACCAGAGCCAAGACCAGACCAAGACCAAGACCAGAGCCAAGACCAGAGCCAGAGAAGACCAGAGACCAAGACCAAGACCAAAGACCAGAGCCAAGACCAAGAGAGCCAAGACCAGAGCCAAGACCAGAGCCAAGACCAGAGCCAAGACCAAGACCAAGAGCCAGAGACCAAGAGACCAAGACCAGAGCCAAGACCAGAGCCAAGACCAAGACCAAGACCAAGAGCCAAGACCAAGACCAAGACCAAGACCAAGACCAGAGCCAAGACCAGAGCCAAGACCAGAGACCAGAGCCAAGACCAGAGACCAGAGACCAAGACCAGAGCCAAGACCAGACCAAGACCAAGACCAGAGACCAAGACCAGCCAAGACCAGAGCAGCCAGAGCCAAGACCAAGACCAGACCAGAGCCAAGACCCAGAGAAGACCAGAGCCAGAGACCAAGACCAGAGCCAAGACCAAGAGAGCCAAGACCAAGAGACCAGAGAAGACCAAGACCAGACCAGAGCCAAGACCAGAGCAAGACCAGCCAAGACCAGCCAGCCCAAGCCAAGACCAGAGCCAAGACCAGAGCCAAGACCAGAGCCAAGACCAGAGTCCAAGACCAGAGCCAAGACCAGAGCCAAGACCAGAGCCAAGACCAAGACCAAGACCAGAGCCAAGACCAGAGCCAAGACCAGAGCCAGGACCAGAGCCAAGACCAAGACCAGAGCCAAGACCAGAGCCAAGACCAGACCAGACCGAGCCAAGACCAGACCAGCCAAGACCAGAGCCAAGAGCCAAGACCAGAGAGAGACCAAGACCAGACCAAGACCAAGACCAGACCAAGACCAGAGCCAAGACCAAGACCAGAGCCAAGACCAAGACCAGACAGACCAAGACCAGAGCCATCCAGACCAAGACCAGATCCAGAGAGCCAGAGACCAGACCAAGACCAGAGCCAAGACCAGAGAGCCAGAGACCAAGACCAAGACCAAGACCAGAGCCAGAGCCAAGACCAGACCAAGAGCCAAGACCAGAGAAGACCAGAGCCAAGACCGACCAAGACCAGCCAAGACCAAGACCAAGACCAGACCAAGACCAGAGACCAGAGCCAAGACCAAGACCAAGACCAGACCAAGACCAAGACCAAGACCAGAGAAGACCAGAGGACCAGACCCAAGAGAGCCAAGACCAGATCCTGGACCAGATCCTGGACCGAGCCGAGAGTCTTAATGAGGCGAGGCCCTGAGGAGGAAGAGTCTGTGATTTATGTTTGTTCTACAACTAAAGTTCAGCAGAGGGAAGTCAGCGTTTTAAAGCTCTACTCTGTAACTTTTCTAAAGGTCATTTACTGTGACGTAAAACGAGACACTGAACAAATGTGACGAGGAAACAGTTTAAACGAGGCTCAAAACAAAAACTGCACTGACACAATATTCAGAATCATGTGTTTTTATTCAACGCTGTCAATCAAACCTGTTGCTAGGGGGCGGGGCCTCAGGGAAAGAAGGCGTCTGATTGGTCCATTATTAATGTTCAGATCTGGATTTATGAAAAAAATAAAAAACTCGAGGATCATGTAGAGCGTTAGTCTTGGTTCAGGTCTGGTCTAGTCCAGTTGTAGTCCTGGTCTTGTACCTGCTGTAGTCCAGTTTTAATCCAGTTTAACTCCAGTCTTAGTCCAGTTTTAGTCCAGTTTTAGTCCAGTTTGAGTCTAGTTTGAGTCCAGTCATAGTCCAGTTTGAGTCCAGTTTGAGTCCAGGTTTAGTCCGGTCCTAGTCCGGTCCTAGTCCGGTCCTAGTCCGGTCCTAGTCCGGTCTCGGTCCGGTCCTAGTCTGGTCCTAGTCCAGCTTTAGTCCGGTCTTAGTCCGGTCCCAGTCCAGTCCCAGTCCGGTCCTAGTTCAGTTCTAGTCTGGTCCTAGTCCGGTCCTAGTCCAGGTTTAGTCCGGTCTCAGTCCGGTCCTAGTCCAGTCCTAGTCCGGTCCTAGTCCGGCCCTAGTCCGGTCTTAGTCCGGTCCCAGTCCGGTCCTATTCCGGTCCCAGTCCGTCCCAGTCCAGTCCGGTCCAGTCCGGTCCCAGTCCGGTCTTAGTCCAGTCCTAGTCCGGTCCTAGTCCAGTCCTAGTCCGGTCCTAGTCCAGTTCTAGTCCGGTCCCAGTCCGGTCCTAGTCCGGTCTTAGTCCGGTCCTAGTCCGGTTCTAGTCCGGTCCTCCAGTCCGGTCCTAGTCCGGTCCAGTCCTAGTCGTCCTAGTCCAGTCCGTTTCTAGTCCCAGTCGTCCTAGTAGTCAGTCCGGTCCTAGTCCGGTCCTAGTCCGGTCCTAGTCCGTCTAGTCCAGTCCTAGTCCGGTCCTAGTCCAGTTCTAGTCCCTAGTCCGTCCTCCGTCCAGTCTAGTCGTCGGTCCTAGTCCGTAGTCCAGTCCAGTTCTAGTCCAGTTTGAGTCCAGTTTGAGTCCAGTTCTAGTCCAGTCCTAGTCCAGTCCAGTTCAGTTCTAGTCAGTCTAGTCCGGTCTAGTCCGGTCCTAGTCCAGTCCAGTCCGTTCTAGTCGTCCTAGTCGGTCCTAGTCCAGTTCTAGTCCGGTCCTAGTCCGGTCCTAGTCCGGTCCCAGTCCGTCCAGTCCGGTCTTAGTCCGGTCCAGTCCGGTCTTAGTCCGGTCCCAGTCCGGTCCCAGTCCGGTCTCACCTGGTGGTAGAAGGCGGCCTGTCCAAACCAGTAGTGCATGATGGTGACTTGGGCGGCGTCGTACTTCAGCGGGCGCCACACGAAGCGCGTCAGGAGCGTCTGGACGAGCAGCGAGCCGCACAGGACGGGCAGGTTGTGTGGGCGGAGCAACAGCGCCGCCACCAGGACCAGACCGGCGTAGACCTCCCACAGACCCCGGCGCCGAAGACCCGGACTCGGCCGGAACTGAGACCCCAGAAGGTCTTTAGTCCCCGAGAACAGGACGCCCAAAACGAAGACGAAGACGAACCGAGCCTCCACCGTGCCCCTGGACACACAGACCGGTTATAGACCGGGACCAGGACCGGGACCCAGGACCGGGACCAGACCGGGACCAGGACCAGACCAGACCAGGACCAGGACCAGGACCAGGACGGGACCAGGACTGGGACCAGACCAGGACCGGGACCAGGACCAAAGCAGGACAAGACCAGGATTAGAGCAGGACCAGAGCAGGACCAGACCAGGACCAGACCAGGACCAGGACCGGGACCAGACCAGGACCGGGACCAGGACCAGACCAGGACAAGACCAGGATTAGAGCAGGACCAGAGCAGGACCAGGACCAGGACCAGGACCAGGACCAAAGCAGGACAAGACCAGGATTAGAGCAGGACCAGGACCGGGACCAGACCAGGACCAGGACCAGGACCAGGACCGGGACCAGACCAGGATTAGAGCAGGACCAGACCAGGACCAGGACCAGGACCAGACCAGGACCAGACCAGGACTACACCAGGTCTAAACCAGGTCTAAACCAGGTCTAAACCAGGTCTAAACCCGGTCTAAACCCGGTCTAAACCCGGTCTAAACCTGGTCTAAACCCGGTCTAAACCCGGTCTAAACCAGGTCTAAACCAGGTCTAAACCAGATCTAAACCTTGTCTAACCCTGGTCTAAACCTGGTCTAAACCTGGTCTAAACCAGGTCTAAACCAGATCTAAACCCGGTCTAAACCCGGTCTAAACCCGGTCTAAACCAGGTCTAAACCAGATCTAAACCTGGTCTAAACCTGGTCTAAACCTGGTCTAAACCAGATCTAAACAGGTCTAAACCAGATCTAAACCAGGTCTAAACCTGGTCTAAACCCGGTCTCTGGTGGTGTTTGTTTGTCGTCTGTTTTTCTGGACTTATTTTGGGAGTTTTCATTAAAGTTTAATTGTCGTCGTTGGTTTTTATTGTGATCAGATTTAATTTAACTTCAACTGTTCAGGAGAAAAACGACAAACTTTATTTACTCCACTTTTACTTTTAATTTTACCTCCAACACAAACAAAACCTCAAAGTGAACGTTTAGTCTTGGTTCAGTTCTGCTCTGGTCCATTTATAGTCCTGGTCTTGTACCTGCTCTAGTCCAGTCCAGTCTGAGTCCAGTCTGAGTCCAGTCTGAGTCCAGTTTGAGTCCAGTTTGAGTCCAGTCTGAGTCCAGTCTGAGTCCAGTCTGAGTCCAGTCTGAGTCCAGTTTGAGTCCAGTCTGAGTCCAGTTTGAGTCCAGTTTGAGTCCAGTTTGAGTCCAGTTTGAGTTTGATTCGTTCGTGTTTGTTGAAGCATTAAAGGTGGTGAATGTCTCTCTCAGCTCTTCAGCCCCCACAGACTCTCTGTGCTTAACAGTCTGGTCCATGTTGTAACAGTCAAGTCAGGTTCGTGTCATTACAGTCAGGTCAGTCTGGTCCGTGTCGTTACAGTCAGTCAGGTCTGGTCGTGTGTCCGTGTCGTTACAGTCAGGTCAGTCAGGTCCGTGTCGTTACAGTCAGGTCAGTCTGGTCCGTGTCGTTACAGTCAGGTCAGTCAGGTCCGTGTCGTTACAGTCAGGTCAGTCAGGTCCGTGTCTTACAGTCAGGTCAGTCTGGTCCGTGTCGTTACAGTCAGGTCAGTCTGGTCCGTGTCGTTACAGTCAGGTCAGTCAGGTCCGTTACACTCAGGTCAGTCTGGTCTGTGTCGTTACAGTCAGGTCAGGTTCAGTCAGGTGTCGTTACAGTCAGGTCAGTCTGGTCCGTGTCGTTACAGTCAGGTCAGTCAGGTCCGTGTCGTTACAGTCAGGTCAGTCAGGTCCCGTCAGTCGGTCGTGTCGTTACAGTCCGTCAGTACTCAGGTCAGTCTGGTCCGTGTCGGTCCGTGTCGTTACAGTCAGGTCAGTCAGGTCTGTGTCGTTACAGTCAGGTCAGTCAGGTGTCGGTTGTCGTTACAGGTCAGTCTGGTCCGTGTCGTTACAGTCAGGTCAGTCAGGTCCGTGTCATTACAGTCAGGTCAGTCTGGTCCAGGCTCTCGTCTTGTGCAGCTCATGCATCAGGAGAGACAGGGCCGCTCCTGTCGCTGCTCCTTCACTTCTCACAGGGTTATTCAGTCAGTTCACCTGTCAGTTCACCTGTCAGTTCACCTGTCAGTTCACCTGTCAGTTCACAGGCCGCAGAGATCATTAAATATTAAAACCCTCACAGACGAAAGAGGAAAGAAAAAGAAAAAACAACAGGACAGAGAGAGAGAGAGAGAGAAGAGAAGAGAAGAGAGAGAGAAGAGAAGAGAGAGAGAGAAGAGAAGAGAGAGAGAGAGAAGAGAGGAGAGAGAGAGAGAGAGAGAGAGAGAAGAGAAGAGAAGAGAAAGAGAGAGAAGAGAGAAGAGAGAGAAGAGAAGAGAGAGAGAGAGAGAGAGAGAGAGAGAGAGAGAGAAGAGAGGAGAGAGAGAGAAGAAGAGAAGAGAAGAGAAGAGAAGAGAGAGAAGAGAGAGAAGAAGAGAGAAAGAGAGAGAGAAGAGAGAGAGAGAGAGAGAAGAGAAGAGAAGAGAAGAGAGAGAGAGAGAGAGAAGAGTAGAGAGAAGAGAGAAGAGAGAGAGAGAGAGAGAGAGAGAGAGAGAGAAGAGAGAGAGAGAGAGAGAGAGAGAGAGAGAAGAGAGAGAAGAGAGAGAGAGAAGAGAGAAGGAGAGAAGGGAGAGAGACAGGGAGGGAGAAAGGAGAGAGAGAGGGAGGGAGGGAGAGAGAAAACCAAGGGGGAAGAAGAGAAGAGTGATAGACAAAAAAACAAGAGAGAGATAAAAGAGAGAGTCAGGAGGAGAGAGAGAAGAGAACAGAAGAGACAAGGAAAGTAGGAGGAGAGAGAGACAGAGGAAGAGAGAGAGAAGAGGAGAAAGAAGCGACAGAAGAAGAAACAAGAGAGAGAAAAGGAGAGACGGCAGAGAGAGAGAAAAAAAACAGAAGAGTACAGAAGAGAGTCCTGGTTTAGTCTTGGTTTAGTCCTGGTTTAGTCCTGGTTTAGTCCTGGTTTAGTCCTGGTTTAGTCCTGGTTTAGTCTTGGTTTAGTCCTGGTTTAGTCCTGGTTTAGTCTGGTTTAGTCCTGGTTTAGTCTTGTTTTAGTCCTGGTTTTAGTCCCTGGTTTAGTCCTGGTTTTGGTTTAGTCCTGGTTTTAGAGTCCTGGTTTAGTCTTGGTTTAGTCTGGTTTAGACCTGGTTTAATCTGGTTTAGACCTGTTTTAGACTGGTTTTAGTCTGTTTAGTCCTGGTTTAGTCTGGTTTGTCTGGTTTAGTCCTTGGTTTTAGTCCTGGTTTAGACCTGGTTTGGACCTGGTTTAGACCTGGTTTAGTCCTGGTTTTAGTCCTGGTTCAGATCTTGTGAGTTTCGCTCGTTTGTTGATTTAATGAGACGAGTTTCCACGGCAACAAACAAGAAAAGTGACAGGTTAATTACACACGACACGACGACAGTGTCACAGGAGACAGGCTCACCACTCTGCCACTGACAGGAGCAGACAGGAGCAGACAGACAGCAGACAG